ATATATATATATAGAGAGAGAGAGAGAGAGAGAGAGAGATTAATATATAAATTAATTATTAATATATAAAATATATAAGCTAAAATATAAATTAAATTAGAAGGTTAATAAATATATATATTGCAAGTATTTTACAGAGTTTTAAGGCATTCATTTCAGCTACTTAGAAATAAAAATGTAAAATAATTTTTAAATGCCGCAAAACTTGAAATAGCTTTTAAGAAATCTACATTTATGTACTCTGACTGAAAATCACGTCTGCTGTCGAGCGTGGTTTCGTGCTACGTCGTGTTCTTTCGATAATTTCCGTTTTGATTCGGTAATTTCCGCTTGCTCTCCTTCCTGTGTTGATCCCCCGTCCCCAGTAAAGGCACTCGGAGGCCATTATCCTGCAACCATTTTCTTTTCTTTCATACCTGAAGAAAAATAAATCGTTTTTATAAATCAATTATTTATTCGTGCAAGTTGACCAAGCGCTCGTTGGACACCTGCACCTTTACAAATCGTGAGGGACGCGCACCTCGCCTCGACAATCCTTCGGATAATTTCGGCTGCTTTCGTGCGCCGCTGTTTTGAAATGGACGCGACTGAACCGGCGGCGAAGGCACTCGAGCTGGGCGACGCGTCTGAGGACGTGTCTGCGGGAGAGGCGGTAGGTTCGGATACCGAGTCGGAGGCCGAAGTCGCCACGATGACTGTGATGGGAGAAGCGGGAAACATCGACATCACCGAATCCCTGCCGAACCCAGACGATGCCGAAGCGGCGTTTGCGGGTCAGTGTGCGCATGCGCAAATCATACGGTCTACGTTAATATTATAGTATTTTGTTTTGGGCAAACAAACAATTCTCTTCACATCAAACTCTTCAAAAGGGATGCTGAAGACGTTTATAATGTCACAAAAATTTTTTCAACATTGATAATAGTTTTTATGGTTAAGCTTTACAATAAGGTTCATTAGTTAACTACTTTAGTTAACATGAACTAAGAATGAACAATACTTTTACAGCATTTATTAATCTTAGTTCATGTTAATTCCAACATTTACTAATGCATTATTAAAATCAAAAGTCGTGCTTGTTCACATTAGTTACTGTGAATTAACATGAACTAACAATGAAAGACTAAATACTGTAATAAATGCATTGTTAAATGTTCATGTTAGTTAATACATTAACTAATGGAACCTTATTGTAAAGTGTTAGCGTTTTTATAATGAGTGCCAATAAAAATGGATAATAATTGAGCAGCAAATCAGCATATTAGAATGATTTCTGAAGGATCATGTGACACTGAAGACTGGAGTAATGATGCTGAAAATTCAGCTTTGAATCACTGGAATAAATTACATTTTACAATATATTTAAATAGAAAACAGTTATTTTAATTTGTAATAATATTTTATATTATTACTGTTTTTACTGTATTTTTTAGATTTAATAAATACATCCAAAGAGACTTCTTTCAAAAACAAAACAAATAAAAAAATTATTATTATTAATTATTAATTAGGGCCTGAGCACCGTTGGTGTGAGGACCCTATTGGAATTGCTCCGTTTCTTATTTTTATTATTAAATCTTAATTATTCAAGTACAGTACGTCATGTGCACAAACACCAAGAACATTGTCGTCTACCCAAAGTCATATAAAGTTTGTGTTTTTTTGCAGAGGTGACAGCCGTCACAGTTGGGGATGTCCAGAGCTCAGATGAATCTGTGTTCACATCTACAGTCGCCACAGCAGCGTCCATCCCTGAACACGTGCTCGTAAGATAAAACACTCTCGCTGGTCCACTCTAAACCTATGCATGATTTAAAGTTAAAAAGGCTTGAAATTGACAGTATAATTATGCTTGTCTTTATGCAGGATACATTATTTTGTAAAATACTAAATATTCATTTGTAAATAAAGTCACGAAATAGTGGCAGTACCGTGTTACAGTCAGATGACAATACCATGGTACTTTGATAGAAACCAAAACTGTGATACTGTATGATTACTGTATGATTTTCCTATACCATGATAAAACCAACTTGCATGTCCAAAAATGTTTTATTTGGATAACTTCTGTTATAATTTTCAATAATGTTAAATAACTTGAAAACACATATCAAAATGATGCAATTTATATTTTTGTAGTTCTCTTCTGGCTGAATTATTTATTTATTTGCTTGCTTTTCACCATTAGAAGGTTTTTTTTATTGAACCTAAATAAACATAAACCAAAACCATTGCACTGTATGGTAACTATATTCATATATAATGATAAAACCATCTTACATGTTATTAGTGCTGTCAAACGATTAATCGCGATTAATCGCATCCAAAATAAAAAAGCTTTTGTTTACATAATATATGTGTATGTACTGTGTATATTTATTATGTATATATAAATGCACACACATGCATGTATATATTTAAGAAAAATATGTTTCGTTTATATATTAAATATATTTATACATGATATAAATTATATTAATATAAATATATACATGTAAATACATGTAAATATTTTCAAAATATATACTGTATGTGTGTGCTTTTATATATACATAATAAATATACACAGTACACACACATAT